TTGGAGTTGGGGGCAGTTGTCTTCTCCCTCAAGATTTGGCGACACTACCTCTATGGAGTCCGATGTACCATTTTCACGGACCACAAGAGTTTGAGGTACCTCATGGATCAGCCGAATCTGAACATGAGGCAGCGTCGGTGGCTAGACGTGGTAAGGATTACGACTGTGAGATCCTCTACCACCCAGGGAAGGCCAACGTTATGGCCGATGCGCTTAGCCGCAAGGCAGCTCCGATTAGAGATATATGCTTGAGGATGACAGTAGTGACTCCACTGTTGGAGCAGATCCAAGAGGCCCAGCAGGAGGCTATGAAGGAGGAACATCGGAAGAGTGAGCGTCTTGTGGGGCAAGTTTCCTCCTTCGACTATGATAGTCGTGGTTTATTGACCCTACACCGTAGGGTGTCGGTTCCGTATCATGGAGGTGTGCACCAGGTGCTGATGGAGGAGGCGCAGAAGTCCGGGTTTTCTATTCATCCCGGGGCGACGAAGATGTATAGAGATCTTCGTCCTGATTACTGGTGGCCCTGCATGAAGCGGGGTGTAGCCTGGTACTTCGAGAGATGCCTGACCTGCAGGAATGTTAAGGACGAGCACCAGAGGCCTCACGGCAAGACGCAACCGTTGGACATCCCCATGTGGAAATGGGAAGACATTACCATGGATTTCATCACCAAGCTTCCCAGGACTGCACGGGGAGTGGATTCCATATGGGTCATTGTGGATCGGTTGACCAAGAGTGCCCATTTCATACCGATCCAGGAGAGCATCTCGGCCGAGAAGCTGGCCGATATCTACATTCGGGAGGTTGTAGCACGACACGGAGTGCCAATCTCCATGATTTCAGACAGAGACGCGCGATTTACTTCCAGATTTTGGAAGAAATTTCACGACGAGCTGGGGACTCGTCTGCACTTTAGCACTGCTTTTCACCCACAAACAGATGGTCAGAGCGAGCGGACCATCCAGACATTGGAGGATATACTGCGGGCATGCGTATTAGACTTCAGTGGTAGCTGGGATACCTATCTTCCATTGGCTGAGTTCTCCTACAACAACAGCTACCACGCGAGCATCGATCGTCCTCCCTTCGAGATGTTGTACGGGAGGAAGTGCAGGACCCCGATATGCTGGGGTGAGGTTGGGCAGAGAGTCATGGGGAGTACCGAAGTGGTACTCAAGACGAAGGAGAGGATCCAGCAGGTCAGGAGCAGGCTTCAGACTGCTCAGAGTCGGTAGAAAAGTTATGCCGACAAGCGTCGTTCGGACCTGGAATTCCAGGTCGGGGATATGGTTCTCCTGAAGGTGTCACCTTGGAAAGGTGTCATCTGGTTCAAGAAGCGGGGCAAGTTGGGCCCCAGATACATTGGGCCTTTCAGAGTCACAGTCTGGGTGGGCAAGGTGGCATATAAGCTGGATCTGTCAGCCAAACTTAGTCAGATTCATAGCACCTTTCACGTCTCTCAGCTACGGAAGTGTCTGGTAGACGACTCAGCGGTGGTACCACTAGAGGACATTCAGGTGGATGACAGCCTGAACTACATTGATCAACCAGTAGCCATCCTCGACAGGAAGTCGAAGGATCTGAGGAACAAGAGGGTCGAACTGGTAAAGGTGTAATGGCAGCACCGCAAGGGATCATAATGGACTTGGGAGCCGGAGGACGAGATGAGAGAGCACTACCCCGAGCTTTTTCCGGATGCAGCAGCCGACTTCAAGGACGAACTCTGAAATAAGTGGGGGAGAGTTGTAACACCCGGTTCCCGGTACGTATTTAAATTTAATTAATTGTATGTTTTTACATTGGGACTCGGCGAGTTGGAGGCCCAACTCGTCGAGTAGACTAGGCTCTTGGTCGCGGGTTTTAAGTAACCTACTCGACGAGTCGGGAGCCCGACTCGGCGAGTAGGTCTGTCCGGATGAAACCCTAATATTTAGGGTTTGCACCCTATTTAAACGCCTTATCTTGTCCCAACCCAACCTCCATCGTCCCTCCTAGTCCAGAAAAGCCCTAACTCGAAAGCCTAATCATTTATAGAGTGTTCTTGAGCTTTTTGGTGCCATTTGTGTGTATTTGAAGTTTGAGAAAGAGAAGGAAGCTTGAGAGATCAAGAGGAAGCAAGAAGATCCAGCTTATTTTAGGTATAAAGCTGAAACCTTGACCACCTATCTCTTAGATCTCTAGTTAGGGTTCATTTCTACCTTTTCTAAGCCTTAGAAGTTCCATATTCTGGATTTTGTGGTTATAAAGGGGTATGACTTCAGATCTAGAACCATTGAGGGTTCCTATGGCATAAAGGTGCCAACTCTATTTCCATAAGAGCCCCATGCATCTTGTAGACTCCATTTTAGGGCCATTTGTGCCAAATACCCCATGCATGAACGTCAAGTTTGTAACTTTACGTGTATTATGGACCCTAGGAGGCTAGATCTACGTTTTGGGTGTGTTAAACCCGACTGAAATCGACTGCATGGACATGGACTGTAGGGGACTCGGCGAGTCGTTCATGGGACTCGACGAGTCGGGGTATGATTCCCCAACCCTTTTCTGTTTTGATCGAACTGGTTGAGTCTAGAAGAGGACTCAACAAGTTAGATGTGAAACTGGACCTGGAAATCAAAAAATTCGGCGAATTCAAGACAAGTCCCAACTGCATGAAGACAAAATCGACGAGTTCATAAGGAACTCGACGAGTCCATGACTATTGGTGTCTTCTTGCATGAAGAAGGAATCGACGAGTTCAAGAATAAACTCGGCGAGTCAGTTGAAGAAGGTCCCGACTTTTGTATAAAGGAGAACTCGGCGAGTGTGTGCAAGACTCAGCGAGTAGGGTCGAGGTTTTAGTGTTTTGAGGATTTGGGGACTCGGCGAGTTGTGGGGGCAACTCGGCGAGTTGAGTCAACCAGGCGTTGACTTTGACCCATAGTTGACTTTGACCTAGATGTTGACCTTGAATGTGGCCTTGACCTAAGCAACCCCTGAAAGGGGTTAAGAGTATGAAATGGTAATTAAGGAAGGTTGTTATGTGTAGGAGTTTGAGAGGAGTCGGTTCCAGCGTCGAGGACAGTTCAGTTACTGCATGACATTGAGGTGAGTTACCTTCCAGTATAAATGGGTCTAAGGCACCAAGGCCGGTCCACTAGTACGAGTCATAATAGAGATAATTGTCTTCGTGATAATTATCTGGTATGTTGTTATATGTTATGATTATGTGTTAGCATGATATGACTTATGTGATAGTGGTAGCAGGGGGAATAGTCCCCGGTTACCGGTCGATAGGGCCCAAGGGGTAGTCTAGTACCCAACTATGTTAGACAGCATGTTTATGTTATGTTATGTTATGTTATTATGTGGTAGTGGTAGGGGTGAAATAGTCCCCGTAATCGGTTGAGATACACCGGAGGGTAGGTCGGGCACCCAGATATGTCTGACAGTAGGGTAGGTTGAGCACCCCGGTATGCTCAACAAGGTAGGTCGGGCACCCAGATATGTCTGACAGGGTAGGCCGGGCACCCAGATATGCTCGGCAGTATGTGATTTGTATGGTATGTGGTATGATGGGGGAACTCATTAAGCTTCGTGCTTATAGTTTTCAGTTTTGTTTCAGGTACCTCTTCAGCAAAGGGGAAGGAGCCGGCACGGTAGCATCGCATCGCACACATATGATTTCCGCATTTTGAGATCCATGAGATTGTACTCTGACATTATCACTATTTTATGTTATGGTTCTTGAGACACGTTCTAAGTTTTTATGAAATGATATGAATCATTGATGTTTTTCAGTAAACTGTTTTACGAGTCACTTAATTAAAAACAAAAAATTTTGGTCTTGAAAATTGGGATGTTACAAAATACATCATTAGTATGATGAACGTGATGACACTTACAAAGGATCTTCGATAACCACAATTTTCCTATAATGAAAACATATAGGAGAAATTAAATATTTTCTTATATTTTTTCCTAGTCATTTTCATATCCATCTTAAATGCCGGCATGTATCATATTTAATAAAATTAATAATATTTTAATCCATTTATCACTATTTAACATGAACATGTAGAAAGAAAATATATAAGGATATTTTATTTCTCAAAAATTAATATTAATCAACGACACGAAGTCAAAAGAGTATTTTGAAAGGAATCAATGTTTTTGGTTTCAAATATTATATATGCATTATGGCTATTAATATTAAACGTTACTTATTAAAAATAACACTTTATTCTCTATAAGTCATATATATTAAACGTTACTTACTAAAAATAACACTTTATTCTCTATAATTCATACACTATAGTTGTGTTTTCAAATCATAGAGCTCTTTACTACCAATTTGTTTGATCTGCAGCTCAAATGGTCCCTTATGAAGTCTCTATTGGTCTTATTCTTATTGTGCGCCTTAATCTACAAGTTTGTTCTCTTAGGCCAAAGGGAATGGTAGCATGTGCTAAAACATTGTCACATCATATTTTTTTTGAGCACCTAAGCATAATACGGTGATCGGAGTGGTGATGTGTTTAAATGGTAATTTCTTTTTTCTTTAATCAATTAAATGTTTATTTTAAATATTTAAATAATATAAACTTTAAAATATGGTACAACTTGCTAAACTGGAAGTACAGGCATTTAAAGCTGGAATAAATCAAAAGGTCAAATGGGACCACCTTTCTTTCTCTTCCTGCTCTCTTTCTTCTCGTCAAGGGGATAGTGAACCTCAATTAGCGCATGAGCATAGCGCCCAAATAAGGTGTAGTAGCGACTTGCCACATAGGCTTAGCGAGGGTTGTGGCGAGGCCACTCCCTTAAGCCTTATATGTTCTATGATGTAATTTTATTAAATACTATGATTTTAGAGCTTCCGAGTGCTTGATAAAAAAATATAAAAAATAAAAACCCAAAATGACAATCGTATATATATAGCCATCACTAGTTAAAAATTCGAAGTTTGATGCAATAACCATGAATACATGCATCTTAGCATAAAGTCAAAGCTTCTTCCATCATCATATCTTCAGAAATACTCCATATGAACACCAATTGCAGTTAGAAAATCACCATTCCTGCCTTGAAAACCAACCACTTGCCCAGGAGATAATGATGATGTAAAATAAACATACCCTTCTCCACTTTCTTGTCCATAAGGCCCATACATCTTCTTGTTTGTGTGAATAGTAATGGAGGTTATCCCTTCCAATCCATTGAACTCCACAACAGGTCCATAAAACCCTGATATCCCACTCAAATACTCCTTCTCACCATCCAAATCAACCTGTCAAGAATCAAGATCATGGTTCTCCAGTCAGCCTACACTAATCATGACACTCATGAATTGCAAAAAGAAAAAAAAAATGTAGATTTATGCACATTACCAGTTCTGTTTTATCCCCACATGTTCCTCCATGCATTTGTGACAAAATGGAATTACCATCCCTTTTAACATATTCAAATTGGATGCCATAAATCACCTTCAAAGACTCTCCTAAATAAACACGTACTTGTTTCACATGAGAGAAAACTCCATCATCCCATGGCTTACCTCTAGCAGCCCCCCAAGGTCCTGCCTCCCTTGGCATTCCTACTCCAGACATCTCACAACACAACTGCAGTGAAATGAAATTACTTAGTCACAGATATATGTAAGCGTATTTAAGTAAAACACTAAACATAAAAGAAATGACAATAAATGAATTTTGAAGGGAATGGACCTCATGCATGGAACTGGAATTGTTTTTGGGAGCAGAGTTTGGAGATAATGATGGTGATAGTGATTTAGGAATCACATAAATCCCAATAGCATTAATGTATTGGCCAAAACGTCCATAAAATCCAATAATCATCCCATCTTTACCATCATATGAGAAAGGGGTACCCTTATCAGAATTACCATACGGACCATAACGAATCTGATTTGTGTGAAAGCTTAAAGACATCAGCATCGGAGAAGAATAAGAACCTCCAGAATTATCAATTGTCCCACTTATTGAAGTCAAATATTCGTTTTGGATAGTCGATGCAAATCTGCAGAAGAATTGAAAAAAGTATCACATCTCATGAAGCAAACACATGTGTTCAGTGACATCAAGAGGTCTTACAGATAACATCACTTACCGTGTCCGTTTTCTTGCCACCAGATCCACCGAAAATGGAGGTTTGAGTTTCACCTTTTTGAGTATGACAATCGCTTTGGAATCTAATGCGATCAATAAACCCTGAATGTACGATTGTAATCTTTTTAATATAGCATTCTTCAGGCATGTAAACCCAATATTCCCCCTGCCAACCACCCCATGGTCCATGCTTTATGCATCCTTCTATTCTGTTTGTAGTTGTACCTCCCTATAAACCATATAATCATAGTAGTAGCTTCATAACATGAAATAAGTGCAGAACAAAACGAATTGAAAGTTTGAAACCATACCATCTGGTTACCGAGATCTATGTATGTATGTCTAAATCCACTACCTGCAACAATCAGTCAAAGTGAATATAAGCAGCAAGAGAACATTAATAATGATGATTTGTCGAAAAATCATACGTAGAAAGTTATGGAAGAAGTACTAAAGATTTAGAACAATATGCGTGATCATGATGCAGATCAGATAGGACGATCATACTACACTCTTTCTCATGCATTTCTAAAGCGAATTGTAGTAGTAAAATAAGCCATTAGCATAATACACAATAAACTCCAACTAGGTTAGAAGGTAATTACTCGTTAAATGAAAAGAACGACTCCGTACGTCGATCGATGGACAACAATACTAACTGGCATTTTCTGATTTTCCGTTTCCATCATATATATATTTATATATATAATGTGAATGTTTACCCAGCTTTGATCAGATTTCAAATGCGCATTTGTTTACCTACTAAAACAACGTAATCACTAATCAGACAGGTTGAAAGGATAAACCCTAATTACCTTCTGCAGTTGTATGCTCCGGTGGGCGTGCTCAAGGCTTAGAAAAGGGGGGGGGGGGGGGGGGGGGGAGGGGTAAATTCCCAATGATGTGAAAATTTATATAGGCAACAACATCAAAAAAAAAAAAAAAACCTTTTCTTTTGAAACTTTTTTTTTGCCGAAGTAACCATTTTTGAAACTTTTTTTTTTGCTAACATCCCCAGTTTCATTACTTTTTTTTTTTTCTTAAAAAGTCCATTTTTTTCAAAACATTTAAGGTTTTTATTTTTATTTAATATTTTATGTCGGATAGACCTCGTTGATTTTTGTTCTTAATCCGCATCCGCTACTGGTCGGAATATATAAAGTTTAGTTTCTGTGTAACAAAAATTATATTGGCCCGGACTCCATTATATTTTTAATCGCTAATGCACCCATGATGAAAATTCTTGGACCTGCCACCGTATATACTGAAAATCAAATTGAAGAACGAACATGCAGTTACATATAATGTTGAAGAAATAGGAAAAAAAACCTAGTGTGTACAATGTAATGAGGTTGATATGTAGTATCAATATCAGAAAAATGCAGCTAGACTTGATGAACTTGAGAATGTTGCAATACATCTCCGTCGTCATTCTCCCCCATTGATTAATTAGGATCATCCAGCGATTCTTTGTTGCATCCATCTTGAAAACGAAAAGACTAAACAATTTGTAAAGGCCATAGCAATGTCTTGTAACAAGCGCAATTAGAGGTGAGCATTTGGACATGTGGACCAGCCCGGACCGTTTTTTTGGACCCCCGGGCCGGTTATCGGTTCTAGGATTTGAGCAAACCGTTCCGGTCCGGTCGGTTCCGGGTAAAAACCGGTTTTGGACCTGCTTGTTGTTAAAAAATATTGTATTATGTGAAATTATTTAAACAAACATATCTCATTCGTTTTAAGTCGGATTGATTTGCGGGTTTTTTTAATAAATAATTTAGAGTTTGTAGATGATTTTACATTATAATTTTATTGTTTTTGGTGTTATATTCGATGAGTTCCAATCCTTCAAAGATGAGATATCAAAACTGAAATATTTCAGCTTTTCAACAAGAAATTTTAACTTTTGTATTCTGAGAAATTCTTTAAACAATCATATCTCATTCGTTTTAAGTCAAATTGATAACATGTAATTTAGAGTTTGTAGATGATTTTAGACTACAATTTTGTTGTTTTTAGTGTTATATTCGATGAGTTACAATCCTTCAAAGATGAGATATCAAAGCTGAAATCACTACAAGAAAAAGGGCCTTCTGTGACTAAAATATCAGAGACTGGTTAATCAGCCTTGGATACCATGTATCCAGGATTGATAATTAGTCTCATATACCATGTAGGACTGATTTTAATGTGTAAATCGTTAGAGACCGCCCACACTTATTTGAGACTAAAATTCAGTCCCTAATCTATTTGCGCCTGTTTTGTAACACCGTAAATTTTCAAACAAATTTTCATTTTTAAAATCGCATGCTTTTCATAACATATTGTATAAAAATCTCGTTTATTCAATTTACAAAACACAAGTCCATTAATAATCCAGGATCCTCAAAACATAACTCTTTCTCTAGTGTGTGTACAATCAAGTTAGTGTCTTCCCGCGATCCTCTGAGATACCTGAAACACATAACACATAACACGGTAAGCACGAAGTTTAGTGAGTTCCCCAAAATACCACGCACAATAAGTAGCCACTCGAGGCTATATGTAATGCCCGTAGATCCGGGCTAGTCAATTTAGAGATAATAGGGGTCGAAAACGACTTTTCGACAAAATATTATTTAGAATAAATAATCTTAACCAGTTTGTAGATACGGTCTCAAGGTTTCCGTACATATAAAGAACGCCGAAATCCGAGTTATAACGAAGAAGTTATGACCCGTCGAAGTTTTAACGGCAGAACCGGCACGCACCGGGAGACGTAAATAGTGAATTTAAAATAGAGCAACTTTTAGCCTTAGCGATCTAAACGAAAGTCGTAGAAAACGTTAAACCGAGAACATACAAAAAAAGTACGCCCAAATCTGACTTCGTATGAGGAAGTTATGAATTTTCTAAGATTTGGCATAGCAGTGCACGACCCAAACTCGAATTTAGATCGAGCCTGTTTTTGGCCTATGCGACCTAAAGGAGAATTGAAGATCTCATTAATAGGAACTCAACGGTGAAAAGACAGACGAAAAGGAGTCCGTATTTAGAAGTTATGAATTTTTACGCGGACATTTAACAGTATAATCTTCCTCGTACTGTTAAATATGAAGATCGGTCGATAATTAGCCAACGGAGTCAAAATGAAGTTGTAGATCTTATTTTTTACCTACGCGTGGATATAAAGAACGTCAAAACGGATGTCGTATGTGAAAGTTACGGATTTTAGAAGTCGGAAGTGTGCTGTGCAAAATGGGTGATGTGGCACAATCTTGGCCATTGCTTCTCCCCCAAGTCTTGCCACTAGATGGGTGACATGTGGCACCAAGTTCAGCCATTTTTCACCCTATAAATAGAACCTCTCCCATCCTCATTTTCTTCACACCTTTCTCATTCTTTCTTTCTCTTTACTCTCTCTCTCTAGAACCTCTCTCTAGCCCCGAAACTCCCGAAAAGCTAAGGGAACCTCCCTAGCACGAGGCGGAAGCCCCGGAGTGCTCGACGGCTCCGAGAAGAAGAGATTTTCAGCTCGGTAACGCCTCAAGCAAACCCGGTTTTTTCTATAAAACCCGCTGTAAGTGAGCTAACGCCTACGCTATTTTAATATATCGTTTATTTAATTGAGTAGCGTTATTAGTAAATTATAATAAGTACTTGGGCTATTCTTATGGGGTATATAAGTATTGTTTAACGCTTATATAATAGTAATAATAGCTAGACTATTAATAGTATCGGCGAATAATAGACTAAACTCTAGTGGTAATAATATTAGGTTTCGTCGAAGGAAATTATTTTTAAGAAGCGAAGCGCTGTCTGAGTTCGGATTCACCACCTTTTCAAGTGAGTACATAGTTACTTTCATCTTACATCATACACATAGATATGAAGTATTTTAAATAAATTACGTGCTATGTGTGCATATTATCTGTATACTTGCTATCTATGCTGGATGAACGATTTTATACATGTTTTAAATGATTTAAACTGTATATAAATATATATCTACGAGAATATGTTGGGTAAAACATGGGTAGATGTAATAGATGGAATATGAGTTGGATGATGAGTGAGAGGTGTTATAGACCACGAGGTAAGTGTGAGAGGTGGACGATGTGAGAAGCGTATCCCAAATGATGGCCCCGTCATCTAGCAGAGTATGGATGACAACCACGGACTATTCTAGACAGTCCAGTGGAACACTGGCAGACTCGCAACCTGTAGGTGTTGTGAACGATGTGTTTACCGGTGTACTCTAAAAACCCATTGACATGTATTGCGAGTGGACTCTCGAAAACGATACTGTCAATAAACGAGATAACCCTAGCAGCTGTGCTCGAAGGACAATACGGGTAGTTGCGCCTCACATAGAATGTCCCAATTCTGGCAGCTGCGCCTAAGTGATAGAACTAGCAGCTGTGCTTGACAGCTGTGTCATTGAAAACGATGGACTTCGTGCCGATTCCTTAGGATGATCCTTAGGAAGGAATGAATGAACGAGGAATAATTGATTCTTAGGGTAGATCCTTAAGAGTAAAGAAGATAATGGGGATGGGTAATTGGGTTGATTGTTTGATG